ATTAATTAATGATTCAATGATTAAAAAAATAAATTAATGAAAAAATGATTTGAAAGATTGAGTGATAAAATGAATTAATGAACGAATGAATGAATGAATGAATGAATCAATCAATCAATCAATCAATCAATCAATCAATCAATCAATCAATCAATCAATCAATCAATCAATCAATCAATCAATCAATCAATCAATCAATCAATCAATCAATCAATCAATCAATCAATCAGAAAAATTAAAAGACGAAACTACTAAACCTTAGTTCAAAAATCGTCGTTACAGTACTTCATTGCACCGACCACCATCATCTGGTCGGCACACATGATTTCATCCGAACTTCTGATTGTCAGTCGAACAGCCAACGCGCTGATTCTTCCTACACCACCATCATCATACGTAAATCATCATGAGACAACCATCTGAAACGTGCTGACTCCCACCACTGCCCACCTCTCATCATCCTGTAGACAAATTTTTTTTATTAGCGTAGTAGTAAATGAATGTTGGAATCTTAGGAGCAAAAAATTATAAAATGGAAACAATGGCAAATTAATAATATTTTAAAATAATAAAGTGATTAAAATGTAAAAAAAACTTACCGTCGTCCATTCGATAAAGGCAGAATGTTGAATGCGGTTTGGTTCCTACGTTGTCTTCCAAAACTGGTGCCAGTCCTCATCGAGATTTTTGTTGAAACACAGCCCGTGTTGATGGAGAAAGAAAAAACTCTCAGAAAGCTTAGCGGTGCCTGCATCTCAAATTGCTTAATAAAAATAATCCTATCTACCTATTCAATTACCTTAGCTAATCTATATTAAATTGTTAATGGTACGATAGTCGAAAGTCCTCCTTCATTCTCCCTCCTTGCACAGAGGCTCACCGACAGCCAGGGCACCGGATAGTAAACCATTGCCGTGCGGATAGTAGACTATTGCCGTGCGGATAGTAAACCATTTGCCGTCCGGAAGCCGTGCGGGTAGTAGACTATGGCCGTGCCGCATGGTAAATCATTACCGTGCAGATAGTAAACCATTGCCGTCCGGATAGTAAACCATTGCCGGTTCACCACTGGCCACCAAGGCTTACCTCTGACAAGAGACTTTGAAATCCAGAGTCAATCGGCTATCGTACCCTCAACTTACCTATCCATTACAATTAAGCCCTAGCTTACCTAAAATTACAAAACTCAAGAGCCCAATTCATTTAGCCAATCGGCACCCACCCCACCACCTACGTAATGCCTTGGGCTCCAACTTAGTAATAATAGTATAAAACTTAAGCCCTAAATCTATTAATGAGTATGTGTTACAACGTAGCCTTAACTTACCTATTCATTACATTACGGTCCTAGCTTACCTAAAATTACAAAACTCAAGAGCCCAATTCATTGGCCTTTCGGCACCCACCCCACCACCTACGTAATGCCTTGGGCTCCGACATAATAATAATATAAAACTTATAATTAACCTACCTATCGATACACTTACAGCGTTTTAATTTACATTACAAGATTGTTCCTAGAATTACATTATCGCCCTTAACTACCTATGAAATTAAATTACTCTCAACCTTAGTAATAATAAATTAGAATGTGTATTGAAAATAAAATTACGCTCAAATACTAATATATGTGTTTATGTATGCAACTGTGTGTGTGTGTGTGTGTGTGTGTGTGTGTGTGTGTGTGTGTGTAATACGCTAATGCGTGTAATGTAGATGCGAGATAAAATAGAAGCGATAAACTTACGCGCCTACCTATTCAACTTCATTAGTGTTGGATGTTTCCTATCTATCCTACCTACAATTAAAATTATGTCTATCTAACCTACCTATATAGCTACTTAATGTAATTGTGTGTGTGTGTGTGCGCGTGTGAGCATTCTTACTTATTGTTAAATTACAGAGAAAAAAGAATAAAACGTATCCCAGGCAGGCGTGCATTCTTTGCCTCTGAATGAATGAACGTAGCCTGACATCTTCCATGATGAACTCCTCTGGAAGCTTTAGCCTGAATGAAATAAAAAAATCTTATTTATTTATTTAATTAATTTAAATGAAAATAGAGAAACGAGCCGCGGTGAAACCCGCCAGCCGGAAAAGCCAGCCAATTGACAAAAAGAGAAACCGCAAAGAAACCGTAAAACGAACCCCAGCCAGGCGTGCATTCTTTGACACTGAATGAACGAACGTAGCGTGACATCACAACCATTCTGATCTTCCACGATGAACTCCTCCGGAAGCTTCAACCTGAATGAATGAACCTGAAAGAACCTAAATGAACGGACAAATCTTATTTATTTAATTAATTTAAATGAAAATAGAGAAACGCAAAGAAGCCGACCGGTCGGCAAAGAAAAGAACCTCAAAGAAAGGTACGCTCTATATAACTCTATATAACTCTATATAACTCTATATAACTCTATATAACTCTATATAACTCTATATAACTCTATATAACTCTATATAACTCTATATAACTCTATATAACTCTATATAACTCTATATAACTCTATATAACTCTATATAACTCTATATAACTCTATATAACTCTATATAACTCTATATAACTCTATATAACTCTATATAACTCTATATAACTCTATATAACTCTATATAACTCTATATAACTCTATATAACTCTATATAACTCTATATAACTCTATATAACTCTATATAACTCTATATAACTCTATATAACTCTATATAACCATACACATACATATACATACCACCACATTCAATCAATAAAAATCCCACTAAAACCAGGAACCACCGCGTACCTGTTATATGTATGATGTGAAACAAATAAAAAAAACACAAAACAAAAATCACACCACCAAGTAGAGTAAAAGAATAGGAGTCCCTAACCTACCTATGTAACTAAATTACCTTATGCCCTAGCCTACCTATATAATAAATTAATTTTTACCTCACCTACCTATGTTTCATTAACTTAACTTAAGACTCATGAAGAAAGAGAAAAAGGAGTAAAACAAAACATAAAATACTACCACACAAACAAACATGATGTATGTATGTATGAGCAACCGCTAAAGAACCCACCTAAAATATAAAAAAATACAACATACAATCACACAAACCACAGGCATGCAAACTCTATATAATAAAATAAATAAAAATAAAAAACTAAAATAAATGAGATCAGGCAAACTGCTTCATGCGAGGCAGAATGCCTGATCTAATTTTCACGTTTTCTCAGCTCCTATTTATACTCGTTTCAACCATACACTTTCACCATTTCACTCATTCACATCAGTAAAAAACTTATTTAATGTATGTACTACAGTATTATACAGTCTTAACCACAATGCCAACAGTACTAAATTGACGTCATCGAACGAACGCCTTCGAAATTTTCTGATTGGCTGGTTGAATCTGCTATATTGCTTTTTATATAAAACATATAATTTTATTAATTATTTGTATACATTGATTCTAGTTACTTTATATATATATATATATATATATATATATATAAATTAATTATAAATGCAACAGTAATCAATGCTACATATGTACGCCGCAGTTCAAAATTTTCGGGGAGAATTCAAAATAGTTTGAGATCACACCTTGCCTAACATCCGATTCCAAGCCGAGCCGAGCTAAGCTGAGTCATTATGCATAGATTTATAAGCGCTTTTATAATAAAATTATGCTCGCTTTATATATATATAGTATATAAATTCCTTATAAACGCAACAGTCGAAATCAGTGCTACATATGTGCGCAAATTTTTCTGGGAGAATTCCAAATAGTTTAAGACCACACCTTGCTTAACATCCAATTCCAAGCCGAGTCTAGCCAAGCTGAGCCAATATGCATAGAGTTATAAGTGCTTTTATATTAAAATTTTGCTCGCTTTATATAGACTATATAGTATATAAATTCATTATAAACGCAATGGTAATCAGTGCTATATATGTAAGCACGCAGTTCAAATTTTTCGGGGAGAATTCAAAATTGTTTAAGACCACACCTTGCTTAACATCCAATTCCAAGCCGAGCCAAGCCAAGCTGAGCCAATATGCATAGATTTATAAGCGCTTTTATGTTAATATTTGCTCGCTATATTTATATATTTTATAAATTCATTATAAAAAACAACAGTAGCCATTACTATATATGTACGCACGCAGTTCAAATTTTTCTGCAACAATTCCAAATAGTTTGAGACCACACCTCGCTTAACATCCAATTCCAAGCCAGCCGAGCCAAGCCGAGCCAAGCCGAGCTAATATGCATAGATTTATAAGCGCTTTTATATTAAAATTTTGCTCGCTTTGTAGTATATAAAATTATATAAATTCATTATAAACGCAACAGTAATCCGTGCTACATATGTGCGCACACAGTTCAAATTTATAATTTATTATAAATTTTATTTGATGTTTTTTAATTAGTCAGGTCACAATCATCATCATCATCGATATCGCAATGAAATCAAATTGAGAATTTTTTATATTAAAAAAAAGTATCTTTATTTATTTTATGATACTATTTTGTTCAATAAGATACTGTTTGATACATATAACTAGAATAAATATAACGGCCTTCGCTCACTTTCAACGGTTGAACGAGGAGCTCACTTCTGGAGGAGAGATGGAGGGTGAGGTTCGAGTCAAAAGTTACGATAGTATATTTACTAATTACGGAATATTGCTTTTATTTAAAATGTTAAAATTTTATTTTTTCAAATTTTTATTCAATATGGTAATTAATTACTTTTATTTGGTATAAATTTAAACAAATAAAATCGACATTACAGAAAATAATTAAAAGTTGCAAAAATTGAGATTCTTTGCATATTCTTGTTTCAACCCATAAGAAAGTGTTGTTTAATGGTAAATAGGCCTCCCCTTGATTTAAAACAATTAACTTTTATCACAAGCAATCACATCAGCTATCCATAATTAAACTTTCTATGCTCATTATTTAAATAGTTATCAATAATCATCATTTAGTTTCACTTTTAGTTTCAATTCAAGTTCACCGTGTATTTTAAATTTTGCTTGCAAACTCGCATTAAAATAAAATCGTTCGGAATTTAGACTATTCTATTAATTAATTAAATCAATTAATCATTTTTTTGTGTGGATAATATGGGGAATAGCGAAACGAGGGAGATAACCATTGAAAACGACAAAGATACCATTTCGCAATCACTAAGCAAAGTTAGTTCTTTCTTTAGCTTCAGTTTGAGTTTAGTTTTAGACTTAGAAGTAGTACTTTACAGTTTAGTTTAAGTTTAGTTTAGGGATTCTATTGTTGTTAAGTGTATGTTTGTTAGGTTGGTGTTAAATTTGATGTAAAAGAAAATGTCTACTGGAGTTATACAAGAGTAAAGAAAAGACATTATTTAGTTGGTTAGTTTGTTTTTTCAGGCAGATCAGGTCAAATTAGAATTATTTATTAGATTAGTAATAATTAGTAATACTAATCTAATAAATAATACTAAGCATTAGAGATTGAATTTGAGATATTTCAAATTTATATCTAGATTAACTTTTCATTTAGGTAAATTTTTTAGCTTAGTCTTCATTTATTAATTATACCATTAGAGGTTAATTATATATTATTTAAAAAAAACTACAATTTATTACAAAGGATGATGATAAAGAGGACAAAAAGAAGTTTAAAAAGTCCAAAAAGCACAAAGAAAATATAGAAAAAAGCAATACAAGTCTGTGTCAGATGTCAATAAATTTTTATTTAATTTTTAATTTCTCTCCTTTTGTTTTTATTTATATATATATATAATTATAATTAAATATTTTTCAAATTTTCACTCATAATTACAGAAGGTATCTCGACAGATGTTAGTTGCACTGCCAAAAAACTGTTTTTGAAATTTTTCTATAATTTTCCTATAATTTTCTTATAATTTTTTTAATTATTATTAATACACTAGTAATGATAATATAAATAACAATAGTATTTCACATTCATAGTATATTTTTTTTCTAAAATTTTCAGTTAATGTCGGAAGATGAATTTCAGCAATTGAAATCGCTGTACGATCAGAAGATAGCTACACTCCAAAATAAAGTGTTCTTTTTTTTGAAGTTTACTTTTAAAAGAGAATTTTTATCTTTAATAAAAATAATATTATAAGTTATAATTATAATTATTTCTACTTTGTTTATTCATTTTGCCGTCAGAATGCGAGGCTTTACGGAGCGACGGTCAGTAACTTTGCGAGGGGTGTTGAGAGATTGGAAGAAAAATATTTGTTAGCATCTTCTTTTATTCACTCATTCATTCATTTATTCATTCATTCATTCTATCTATAAATTAATCCATCCTTTTATTTATTCATTCATTCATTCATTCCTTTTAGTTATCCAAGCCCACATACATACATGCATACAAAAGGGATCAACACATACTTACAAAAACGTACACACACGCATACATACAACAGGTACATACAAAAAAATCGACACATACATACAATACGTTAATAGGAAAGCTTTGAGGCCGCCAGTTTGTGGAGAGCAGCAGTTGAAAATTGTTGAATGTTACAAGGAAAGCAAAAATAAAACATTAAATTGTGGTCACAGTGTTGATGAGTTTAACGCTTGCTTGCAACAGTATAGACAATCCGTCAGTTATTCTTTGGTGTTGAGGGATAATATGTTGATTTGGTTTTCTTTGTATGTTTGTTTTTGTGAGATTTTGTTGAGTTGGTTTGTGCATTTGTGAGCTTGTGTGTGTAATTTCATGTGAATGTGTCTGTTCATTGGTTTGTTTGTCTGTATCTGCCTGTACTTGCATGTCTGTTTGTGTGTATTCTTCAATAATTTTTATATATTTTTACCATGGAAAGGTGTAGAGTGGAGGTAACATGTTGAATTAGTATCAATTCTACTTCAAACATTCCAGATACAATATTTCAAAAATTATAATAAATTGTTTGATTTGTTTTTTTTTTTGGTTCCTCTTTATAGTTTGTTAGAAGTTGGTTTCAAGTTCAAGTTAACTTTTCATTTTTATGATTGCTGATTTCCTAACTTTGTCCTAACAATATTTTTTTCTTGACAGTGTTTTAATTGATTTTTTTTCCCGAAAATTTTACAGAGAACGGTTACGTCAGGCTAAAAAGGAAGAGGAGAAAGATGCTGATAATGAATTCTTTCCCGCTAGTTTGAAAATTTAAAAAAATTCGATAAATTTTGTTTTATTTTGGTGACTTTTTGTTTCTGGTTTTTTTTCCAATAAATTATCATTCGTATTGCAAGGGTTTCAGTACAAATTAAGAGTTTCACTATCATTATAATTGAGGGTTTACATGCGTGGCATTTAAAAATTCCAACTAAAATTATGAAAAAGTGACCATATAAAGGGAAATAAAAACTGAATCAATGAAAACATTTTTATTTAGTTTTTATTCTAGCTGGCAAATGAACATTTTTTGAAAAATGTAAGAACAGAATCCAAATAGTAGAAAAATAATAATAAAAAATAGTAATAATGAAAATAATAAATAGCACTTGTTCGTCTAGCAGCCGATGTTTCAAAGTTCAACGACTGTCTTTTTCTTTGTTCATGGAAAAGTATGCATACACACGCATACACATACGCATACATTATGTACATACACGCATACATACATCCCATATGTAGGATATATTATTTCGTATTTATTCCACATAAAAAAAATCTCATAAATGATCTTCAAATCACTTATCGTACGTACGTATATCGCTCGTTTATATCGAATTATGGGTTTAAAGTTAATACCGGAAAATGTGTGGTATGATAATTAGGGTAGTATAGGTGATATAATATATTATAATTACGATAATAAATATGATATAATATAATTACGATAATATATATATAATATATTATAATTACGATAACATATATGATATAATATATTATAATTAATTTATTTATAATGGGCTGTGTTGTTAGTTTTCGTAATAAGGAGTCCAGAGTTGCCGCCATTATATCTAGGGAGATTGAAAAAAACTTGAAAAAAGATGCCATTAAGGAATCCAAAGTAGTAAAATTACTATTGCTGGGTGAGTTTTGATGATGAGGATGGTGGTGGTGTTGATAATTTTGATGGTGATGGTGAACATGTTGATGATGGTGGAAAAAATGGTGATTATGATGAAGTTTTTATTGGAATGGCGGTTAGTTATTGATGATTATTATTGCTGGCGATGTCATTCAGGTGCTGGCGAGTGCGGTAAAAGTACCATTGTGAAACAAATGAAGTAAGATTTGGCGTCGTTCATTCATTCATTTGTATATTCAGTCAATCATTTATTCATTCTTTCCTTCATTCATTTGTTCATTCATTTATTCATTCATTCATTCATTACACCTGTCTAATCCATTTTTATTATGTTATAAAACATTCATTTGAGCCTAGATACTAACAATAATAATCTTTGCCCCATGTAATAAAATAATTATAAATAATAACATGAAAATAAATCTAATAATTATGGATAATTATATTAAAAATCATCATAATTAAATATAATTTCTCGGAAGAATCATTCACTCGTATGGATATTCGAGAGAAGAGAGAATTTCGTACAAGTCCATTGTCATATGCAACGTTTTGCAATGTATGGCCAGCATTTTGAGAGCCATGAAAAACTTAAATATACAATTTTCTGATGAAAATTTAGAAGTATGTGTGCGTGTGTATGTGTGTGTGGTGTGTGTGTGTGTGTCTCTAATTACTCAAAATAATAGGAAGCCGCCATCAAAGTTATAGAAGCAGAGCAGTTAGGGTTAGGCGAGTCGTCCCTTGAATTGGCGGAAGCTTTGACGAATTTGTGGCACAACAATGGCGTAAGAAATTGCTTCACAACGTCCAAGCAGTACCACATCAACGATTCTACAGAATAGTTGTTTTGTTGTTGTTGTTGTTGTGGTTGTGGTTGTTGTGGCTGTTGTTGTGGTTGTTGTGGCTGTTGTTGTTGTTGTTGTTTCTAATGTTTTTTTTATGAGAGTTTACATGGAGTTTATCTCTAGCTGATTAAAATATATTTTAGATCATTCCAAATCAACCAATCAACTTCTGATTAACAATCGACCAACCATTCAACAAATTAAATCATGCCAATAAACTGGTCAAACAACCGATCAATCACCTAATCAGTCAACCAACCAACCAGCCAACCAATCGATCAACGAACAACCCCACAAATCAGCTACTTGAACAGTCTAGAGAGAATCTTCCAGAGTGATTACATACCGACCGAGCAAGATATCTTGAGAGTTCGAGTTAAAACAACTGGTGTCATTGAGACGACGTTCCAGTTTAAAGGATTGCGATTCAGGTTAATTGTGAATGAATGAATGAAGGAATGAATAAATTCATTCATTCATTCATTCATTCATTAATGAATTAATGTATTAATTATTGAATTAATAAATGAACGAATGATACATTGATAGATAAATTAAAAAACGAATGAATTAACGAACTAACCAATCAATCAATCAACTAACCAATCAATCAACCCATCAATCAATCCAAAAACCTGTAGAATGTTCGACGTAGGAGGTCAAAGGTCAGAGAGGAAGAAATGGATCCACTGCTTCGAAGATGTGACCGCCATCATATTCGTGGCGGCACTCAACGAGTATGATCTCCTACTCGCCGAGGACAACTCCACTGTATGTCACCTTTAAATATTTCATAATAATAATAATTATTATTATTATTGCTGTTGTTGTGGTTGTTGTGGTTGTTGTTGTGGTTGTGGTTGTTGTTGTGGTTGTTGTTGACTTTATAGTTGTAATTTTTGTTGTTGCGACAGAATGAATGAATGGAGTGTTGGATGAATTTGCGAATTATCGAATAGATGGAGAGATCTATGAATTAACTAAAGAATGAATGAATGAATGAACGAATGAACGAATGAATGAATGAACGAATGAATTAACTAAAGAATGAATGAATGAACGAATGAATGAATGAACGAACGAACAAACGAACGCATACTTGATAGATCGAATGAAAAAATAAAAGAACGAAAACAACAAAAATAACATGAATGACGGTTAAAACCCTTCAAAACAGAACAGAATGCGAGAGAGCATGGTGCTATTTGAGGGCATATGCAACAACAAATGGTTCGAAGAGACCTCCATGATACTGTTCCTAAACAAGAAGGATCTCTTCCAAAAGAAGATCAAATCCTCACCAATCACCTTCTGCTTTCCAGAATATTCCGGTTTGATTATTTGTTATTGTTATTATTATTATTGTTGTTGTTATTATTATTATTATTACTATTATTATTGCGACAGAAATGTAAAATGAATCAACTTTAAAACTAATTAACTCTGGTCGTACTCTCTCGATTCGAATGACGAGCTTCTCAGATTAATACTCTATTCATTACATTTGACATTTTATTTTATTTCATTATTTCACTTTATCTGTACTGACATTTTCATTGTTTTTATTGCTGAATAAAAGATTGTTCCCATTATTATTATTATTACTACCAACACACACACACACACACGCACGCACGCACACACACAGGACCGAATACGTATAACGAGACGTCTCGATACATTGAGGAACAGTTCAAGAAGTTGAACCGTAACCGAGTATCGACCAGTCGGAACTGGTACACGCATTTTACGTGCGCCACCGATACCGGTAATGTGCAGTTCGTATTCGACGCTGTCACAGACGTCATCATTCAGAACAATTTAACCGACTGTGGTCTTTATTAATATTAATGATAATAAAATAATTATAATTAATAATAATAATTACAGTTATAATTATTAGTAATATTATATTATGTTGTTACTACTACTTCAATTTATTTTAATAAATAGTTTAAATGGTTAAATGTACAAATTTGTGTGTATGCGTTTTGTTTCTTGTTCACGATTGGTTTTTAATTGTCGAAAAAAGATAATTGAATGTGATTTACGTATGTATGTGTGTATGATTGTGTGTGAGTATGTGCGGATGTGTGTGCGGATGTGTGTGCGTGTTTTTGTAAACGCACGTATATAAGTATGTACATATGTATGTATGTTTATGTGCGTATGTACGTATTTTTAGGTGTACATAAGTACGTATATGCGTACATGCATATACATACAACGTTTGTACGCTCATCAACATAGCAGCTTATTCTGGGTCCAATATCGATTGCTCTGAAGAAGAGACGAGAGAGAGAGAGAGAGAGGAGAGTGAGAGAGAGAGAGAGAATGTAAAAGAGAAAAAAGAATGAAGGAATGAAAGAAGAGGAAAAATGCGCCGCGCTTCTTCTTGAAGCAAGCTGCAGCTGAATTGGGACAATGTGGCTTTCCATGGATCAAAAATGAATAAGTATGAGTCATGGTGGAGTGTGTGTGTGTGTATTTATGTGTGTGTGTGTGTGTGTGTACGTGTGTGTGTGTGTGTGTGGTGTATACTTGTGTTTTGTGTGTGTGGGTGATTAATGAATGAATGAATATGAGGATGAATGTTTGCATGATGGTGTTGCTGGAACTAAACTGTGGTGCAGAGGTTGTTGTGTTTTGTTAGTTAAGTGTCTGTTAGGTGTTTGTTTGTTGAGTGAGTGAGTTAGTGAGTGAGTGAGTTAGTGATTGAGTGAGTGAGTGAGTGAGTGAGTGAGTGAGTAAGTGAGTGAGTGAGTGAGTGAGTGAGTGAGTGAGTGAGTGAGTGAGTGAGTGATTGAGTGAGTGAGTGAGTGAGTGAGTGAGTGAGTGAGTGAGTGAGTGAGTGAGTGAGGAGTGAGAAAGAGAGAGAGAAAGAGTGAGTGCGTGATTTAGTGGGTGGATGGGTGGTTGAATTTTTCCCATCAATCAATCATTTTGTTTATTGTTAGTTTGACTGATTGCTTGATTGATTGATTAATTGACTGATTGATTGATTGGCAGATTGATACACAGTAAGAAACATACAAACATGCAATCATATTCACATATTTTTATACATACATACATACATACATACATACATACATACATACATACATACATACATACATACATACATACATACATACATACATACATACATACATACATACATACATACATGTCTGCAGTTTTATAAATGTTGTACACACACGTAGTGTACGTCGAAAATGTATTTTGTATGTATGTATGTATGTATGTATGTATGTATGTATGTATGTATGTATGTATGTATAACCGACATAATCAATGTTAATAATGCAGCAGCGGTTCCATGGCGGGCACACGTTCCAACTAGAAGAGTTGCTCCATTCTTCCTATTTTTTTGTCTCGTTACTTAGATTGTATTAAAATAAATATTATGTATATTTAATACTAATTCTATATGTTATTTATTATAACTCAAATTATTGATTAATAATAATAATTTATGTTTAATATTTAATTTATATTTTATAAATACACCAAACATATTTTGACAACCGTCTTTTAAGATCAATTTTGATTTGAAAATTTGGCGTTTTGATATTAATTAGTTCGCAGATTAAGATTGAGTTAAGTTGTTTATCTGTCATTCGCTGATAATAATCATTGAAATAAATAAATAAAAATTTGAAATAAATACATTTCTCCTGTAGTACTTTCTAATCAAAATTTAAGAAAGTTATCAATTTATTTTTGAAAAAATTTTCTAACCTCCAAAGAAGACAAGATGACATCGGGTAACTTATTTTAAATTGAATAATTTGATCAAATAAATTAATAATTAATAACTAATTATATAAATAATAAGTAAATTATTTTGTATAAATGAATAATAATTATAATGGCAATTAATTACAGCTTCTATAATTTTGAATCATAACTGAAGGTTGTGGAGATTACATATATGTGTGTGTGCGTGTGCATGTATGTGTCTGTTTGTATGTGTGTTATGTGTGTGTGTGTGTGTGTGTGTGTGTGTGTGTGTGTGTGTGTGTGTGTGCGTGTTGGTTAGAGGTGAGCCGGAATTGAAATTTGTTCCCAATCCCCCCCTTTTTTTCTCATTCCCAATTCCCTGGCTACTTATAAATTAATATAGAACAATTTTAAAAATTTGCACTTTAATGTATAAGTCTCAATCTAAATTCGTTCCTAATCAATGCTGGATAAAACTAAAGAAGTAACTAGAAGGAGAGGAATAGTTTTTGGGGTTATGTAGAGTTATATAGAGTTATATACAGTTACATATGGTTATATAAAGTTGTATAGAGTTACATATGGTTATATAAAGTTATATGAGTTATATATGTTTATATAGAGTTATATAGAGTTATACACAGATGTATTTTTTTCCATTCCCGTCCGTCATTCCCGATTCCCGAACAGCTATTCCCTATTCTCGCGATTCCGTGCTCATCTCTGTCTGGGTGCTGGTTGTAGTTGGTATTTCTGAAAAATACAAAACGAACGGAGAAACTAATTTAAAACTGTTGCAGTCTGCAAGTGGTTGGGATTTTACCTGTGCATGAAGGAGCCGTCGCTGGCGTTTGTAGAAAAACACAATCTGAATATCTTGCAGCAGCAGCAGAAGGACAATCAGTATAAATGTGATATGCTGATCACACTGAAAGGTAAATAGTTAACTAATAATAATAATAAAAAGAAGAACTATTATTATTATTATTTATGTTGTTGTTATTGATATTTTTCTTGTTATTATTATCGGTGTTGTGGATATGGAAGCACCGATAATGGTGATATGTCGCATTGCATCTTTATTATAAAATAAACCCAGAATCGAAAGAGAGTTCTGGAGGCTTGGCCTTTGACGTCATCTTGAGGCCACCAATCATGGAGAACCCCCCAATCGTCCTCATGAAGAATCATTCGCCCTCTAGAGAAATTTCGCAGGAAGATATCAATAAGAAGTTGAAGGAAGCTGAAGATAGGAGATTGGTATGTATCTATGTGTGTGTGCGTGCGTGCGCGCGTGTGTGTCTGTCTGTATGTTTGTTGAATGTTTATTTGTTTAGTTACGAAAATATTCCACTGCGTGATGTTTTATGTATTAAAAAACTTTAGCATGCTAATCTTATGTATCGCATTTGCTTCTGCTTTCGTTTTTTAAAGAAAGAAATGCTTACTCGCGATTTTTTTTATACAGATTGCTTCAAATTTATTCGAATTTGTTTATTAATTAATTGATATTTACCTTAATTCTCACCCATGAATTACTATTTAAATAAAAAAAATGAAAAAAAATAAAAATTATTAAAATTTTATTCCATCACAAACTCAAAATTCTCAAAAGAATCAGAAAAAATCACAAAGTAATGAAATTTCATTCCATTACAGAAATTAAAACGTAGTAAATATAATAAGACGACACAAGAACGAAAATTCATCTCACCACAACGAAAACAACTTAGGCTTTGGAAAACCAGAAACTGCAATCTGTACAAAAGAGCAAGGAGAGAGCAGCCGAAGCCAACCAGAGAGTTCAGGATCTGAATGAATCATTCATCAAGGAGGTCGAGAAGAAGCTGAACGAGAAGATGGAAGTTTCAGCTGAAATGAAGACTCAGCAGATCAGAATTCTGCAAGAAAAGTTGAAAGAACATGTTAGTAGAGAATGTGCATCTGTGTGTTTGTTTGTTTGTATGTGTGTGTGTTGGTGTGTGTGTGTTTGTCTGTATGTGTGTGTTAGCGTGCAAGGTAATCCAGAGTTTTTTATTTACTTATCTATCTATCTTTCTATATACTTATTTTGATACATATCCAACCTTTTGCCCAACCATTTATTCATCTATCAATTCATTCATCCATTCATTTATCCATCATTTCATTCATTTATTCATTCATTCATTCGTTCGTTCGTTCATCATTTCATTCACTCGCCCAATCATTCTTTAATTCATAGTTTGTTTGACGGTTTTTACTCTGAAAATTTTTAAAAATCCCACAATCAAACTTTTCCAACTCTTTGCCCCAGGCCCAGAGAGTTGAAATAATCAGAAGATTTGGCGAGCAGTCGCGAGAGGAGCTAAGGGAGAGGATCGAGAAGAAGTTGGAGGTAGCCTGGGAGAAGAGGGAGAGCCAGCTGGCCAGAGTTCAAGAGCGCATTCGTCAACATGTATAAATCATACATTTTTAAATCATTTTAATTTTTTTTTAATTTCAAATACTACCACTACTACAACAACAACTACTACTACTACTACCACCACTACTACAACAACAACAACTACTACTACTACTACTAACAATAATAGTAACAGGCAAATAATAATAATAACAATAACTACTATTGTAATCACAATAATCCTACCAGTAACAATCACAACCTTAACAACAACAACAACAATAATAATAATAACATCCCAACATGTAGCAAAGACACATTGAAGAGGTCATAGAATGCAGTAGCAGGTTCAGCAAGGATACAGAGGAGAGGATCATTATGAAGATGGAGAACAGCTTGAAGAATCGCGAAGAACATCTCAACAGTCTAATGGAAAGACTCAAGAAACATGTTATTATTATTATTATTATTTATTATGATTATAATTATTATTATTATTTATTATGATTTTAATTATTATTATTATTATTTATTATGATTATAATAATTATTATAATTTATTATGATTATAATTATTATTACTATTTATTATGATTATAATTATTATTACTATTTATTATGGTTTTTTTTATTATTATTATGATTATAATTATTATAGTCGTCAATATTTTACACACACGCGCGAACTCTTACACACAAACACATAAGATAAGAAGAGAGAAAAATATCTTATTAGATAAATGCACGCACACAAACTAACGCACATACACATATAGACACACATACACATATAAACACACACACAAACAAAAACAAACACAGACGCACAAACAAAAACACACACAAATATACTCACACACACACACAAACACTCACAAACAAACACACATGCACAGGAGCAGCATATAAGAGACATCAGACAGAACAAGATGATGAATCAGTCGATGTCGTCCTCTGGCGATGATT